CTCTGCAGGCCATGAGCAGCAGAATGCACAGGAGGTGAAAAGGCACGGTTTTGTGCCAAAAGTATTGGACCTGAAGGATAGAGTACAGAATGATGGTTTGTGACCTCTGATGCGCAAAGACCCACCATGGACTCCTGGGCAGCCAGTGTGTGAATGTACCAAAGGCTGAGACCACCGTGGCGGAAGCCTAGAGGTCTCTATGGAGACAGAGTAGATGGGTGGCTACCAAGGTGGGGGGTGGGTGGTGAGGCGGAATGAGGAATGGTGGCTAATGGGTGTGGGGATTCTCTGTGGGGTGATAAAAATGTTCTAAAATTGATTATGGCGATGGCCATACAACTCTGTGAATATACTGGAAACCATTAAATTATGCATTCTAAATGGGTGAAATGTATGGTCTGTGAATATTGTCTCACTAAAGCTATTATTAAATCAATGGGTGAGGGCAGGATAAAAATGAAGAGGTTGAGATGACAAAGGAACCAGAAGCGTTCAATGTGGTTGTGTAGGGGCTGCAGGACACCAGCCTACTTGCCATCGCAAAGAAAAGCAGGTATTTTCAGATAGTGAACTCAGTGCCAGCCAACAGCTGTGTGCCCCCGGGACAGACCCTACCATTCCAAAGGGGCAGGGACATTGGTCATGACTGCTGACAGCTGTTCCCTCCAACACTTTGCATTACTGCCCTTTGCTTAGACCACAACCTGAACTCCACTATTTAAAAGGCTTTTAAAAAGAGAAAAACTTTCTAAGCGATAGGAAAGCAAATGCTTCCCAACAGAAAAGCAGACCCACATCTACATGTAGCCAGACCAGAGAGGCAGATGAGGGGGTCCTGACAGCTATCCTGCCCCAGAGCATCAGGTGCTGAGCTGCCTCACTGCACATTCGAAGGTGGTTGCTGCGGATGTGAGGTGCGCAGTGAGCAATCCTTGTGGGGCTGTGGCACCCCCAGGGCAACCACCCTCAGCCATTGCCTCTTCCTGCTGGTATAATTTGTTCAAAAGAGGCTGGAGGGCAGGGCCAGGGAAAGTTTTTAAATTCTCCAAGTGCTGTCAGAGCCAACTCAGCACAGAACGACTCCCCCCAAGCCAGGCACTGTCAGTAGCAACAGCAGCATCCCCTCTGCTGGTAACAGAGAGCACTTACTATGCTGAGCACATTGAGTTTTACCTTGTTAAATCTTCATAACAGGCCCACCACACTATTTACCAGCAGCCCTCAGAAATCTCCATCTCTCACATGCCTAATTCAATCTTGTAGATCTTTCTGTTTTATAAGTAAATCAGCATATAGTGATTACTACGGTAGATGGCACATTCTTTTAAAAAATGAACCACTGCAGCAGATGGGGCATCTGAATGAGAGGAAAACATCCTTTAATCTTGCAGAGGAAGAAGGGTTAGAAACTGAAATGACAGACTTTGACCAGTCACCAGGGTCACGCCATCAGAAGAGAAGCTGTGGGTCAGGCTGTCAGCAGTGTGCCCTCAAGGTCCTGCCACGTCCAGCTCCTACACAGTGCCATCACTAAACAACGCTACAAGCGCCAGAACAAACATAACTCTGTTTCTCTCTCTCTCCTTACTCGGGGCCTTCTCGCTGCCAAGGAGAGTCGAGATGTTAACACACATACGCAAACTCAACTTACTTCTTAGGCCCAAACAGTTTTGGATTAAAGTGTTCAAAAATGGTTTTAAATGCAACTTTGAGAAAGGATGACCAACTGATTTCTTGGGGACCTACCCTCAGCCTTTCCTACTTAGCCCCACCCTACTTTGGCCTCTGACAGGGGAAGCCTCTCCTGAACTTCCAGTTTGTGTCCAACATTCCCCCTGACCTAGGGCAGGGGATGGAAGATATGCAAGTGAGAGGACAGCAGGAAACCTCATCTTACCTCAAGGCAATTACCTCTCTAGTAGGGAACAAATGAGCTCAACTCAGTAAACACTATTTACCTGCAGGATGCACTGGAAAGCTCAACAGGCCTCAGGAAACATGCTTCGTAATTCACTAACTCAAGCTCCTCCACAAACAGTTTTTAAATTCAACTCAGGAGTATTTACTGAGCACTCAACCCAGTGCAGCTGCTCCCAGCATAATGCAATTGTCAAACATCAATTACAGACTTCCTGTGCGCAAAAATTCTGAGGAGGGGTAGGATGACCATCTAGTCACCCTCTGCACCAGGTGGGCCTGAAGGAGGCACCTATAACCTAGACCCAGGGCTTGCACTCAAGCCAATACTCGAAGAGAGCAGGTAATTGCTAGCCAGCCTGAGCACTTACTGTGTGTCAGGCACCTTCTTTACAGAGAATAATTCCTATGTCCTCAAAGCAGCACTTCTTTCTCCGCATGTTGTTTGCAAGCCCATCTTACAGGTGGGAAAACAGAAGCACAGAGATGTTAAATGACTTCCCTGAGGTGAGACTGCAGGAAAGGGAGAGGAGGCATTCATACCCAAGCAGTCTGGACCTCAACCTACTCAGTTCTAGGGACAGTAGTACCACCAGCACAGGGTCCTGCTTACAGAAGATGATCGATGATTATCCGCCAAGACGAACTGGAATGCTGATGTAACACAGGCAGAATAAGAGTGCTCCGCTGGAGATGCCCACAGGTACAGACAAGAGGAAGTTCCTTAATTCTGAGACAAGCCTAAAAGAAGTGAACCCACTAAGGGAAAAGGGGAGAAGGGGGCATTGCAGGCTGAGGGGTGCACAGGACCTGTGTGACACTGAGGCAGTCTGACAACTGGCATCTGGTGATTCTACCTGCTGGCTAAAGGCGTTTAAGCAGATCCAAGCAACAGGCATTCGATCCTCATTGCATATACACAAGCACTAAAAAGAACAATACATCTGGTAATTTTCATCCTGGGAGTAAATAAAAGAGAGAAAGTATCATTGGTTGGTAATGGAACATGCAGAGGATTTCAGTATCAGAAGAAACTGATGCTAGAGGAAACCAACCACAGCAATTCCCTTGCTGCCTTCCACAACAGCGCCCAGAAAACCAGGGCCCCACTCATATCCCCTGACTATGCTGGCTGAAATTCTTGGACAGCCTAAATATTTAAGGCCTTTCTGTCTTTTCCAGCTCTGGTGGCACACAGCATAAGCTTAGGAACACTGGTTAACCCTCAAGAAATGCATGTTGAATCCTATTAAGAATGGGTCCAAAAAAGTAAGGCCCTGGGTGACCAAGAATGATCAATATCCAGGATGGATTATAATAAACTCTCAATAATCAAGACTTTTCTGAAGGTGCCATTATTTTTCTCAGTACCTGGCCTCACTAACCCTAGAAGAAAAAGCCATGGTACTACAATGCACCTAAATTGAACACACCAACAGTGATGCACACAGAAGTCTTTAATATTTTAAACCTTCCCACAACACATCTTTTCATATTTCCAATTTCAAATGAAGGAAAACAGCTTTAAGCTACGTAGTGTCAGTAGCCTGTACAGTAAACGGTTCTACAATAAAATTTCCAACTAGAACTTAATAAGAATGCCCCTTATTAAGTTCCTTCAAATAAATTAAAATCCCTCCCACAGAGAAACAGCTGGTCCAACCATACAGCTCCTCCCTGCCTCTAAAAGATCAAAATAGCCTGTTATTTAAACTCCCAACCAAATAAAAATGTAAACTTCCACAGCCATCCCTTTTCAATGTTTTATTCCGCTAGGTCCTCCCTCCCCCAAGGCTGGGGGTGGGTTCTGGGATCTTTCCTAGCAGATGCAGCAGTTTCTCAAGCAAAAAGATGAGGACAGAAGTACATAATTATAGTATTTATATCATTATCCTGTGATATTTGTTAAATTTCCCAGTGCAAACTGGGAAAAATGTAAGCCACCTCCTTCTTCTTTCTATGAATGAGGCAAATGAAGGCCCAATCGGAAAATTTCCTCCTCCCCCCAGTGAAAAAGCATTGTTTTTAACTGACTGAAGACATTTCCCTCGACTTTCCTTTCCTTCCTACACACCTTATATAAAATACTCAGACCTTCGCTATGTGATAATTTTTCAATTCATATACATAAGACCTGTGTGCTTTAGTGGTACTGATGTTATACTGCAATAAAAAAATGTGTTAAAAATAGCTCACATTAACTTAAAAAAAAAAGTTGCCAGGGAAAACAGCATGAAATCGGTTTCCACGCCATTTACACCCTCCCCTCTACCTGCAACCACTTTACAAAACGTTAGAAGATGCGAGACTCGCGTATCTAAAATTATTCCAAATGTCCTCAAAATCTCCCCCCGCTTCGCTCACTTCTGGGCGGCCAGTCCGGAGCCCAGCCCTCCGCAGCAGCTGCAGCCTAGCGGGCTGGGAGACTCATTCGTCGCGCCGCCACACCTCCCGGCGGCGCACCGGAGGCCTGGCGGACCGCATGGGGGCGGCAGGGGAACCCGGCTCGGGAAGCGCACGGGGACGCCCAGGCGGCGCTCCGGCCGTCCCGGCCGGCGGGTGACGCGTCGGCTCTGTCCCTCGGGGATGCCGCGAAGCGCGCAACCTGGCTACCTTCTCGGTGGGCTGCAGCTGCCGCTCACGCGTGTTTCCCGAGACGCAGAGCGGGCGGGCGCACAGGCCCGGGCGACCCCGCGGAGCCCGCTCGGTCCGCTCTAGCGCCCCAGACGCAGATTGCTCTGCAGGGAGGGTCCGGCCCTCAGGGGCAACCTGCGGCATGAACCGTGGGCCCCGGTCCCCCACGCCAAACACACTTGCCACCCACCCTAAGTCACCCCCAAGCGCACCCACACAGGCCCCCTGCCTGAGGGGCCCCTGGCCCCCGTCACGAGAGGGGCGCGGTCCTCGGATCCCACGCCCAGCGGGCCCGCACCCAGGAAACGACCTTAGCCCAAGCGCCGCGCCGTGCCGCGCCGCTGCCCCTTACGCTCCAGAACCATGGTCCTGCGCCGCTCGCGGCGGACCTGCCCCGCCCCCCTGTGGGGCCTGAAGCTCCAAGAGCTCGCCGCACCCCGGGGCCCTACCTGAAAGCCGGTGGTTGGGAGGCGAGGTCCGCACCGCGCCCGGTTCGGCCATCTTCCCGGGGAGCGGGGAGGCCCGCGTAGCCCCCTCCGTCCCGGCTCCCGCTCCGCAGCCGTGGCCGCGCTCCATCGGGATGCGCCGGTCGCACAGGCGCACTGCCCGGGCCGCCGCGCCGCACAAGACTCGTGCGCGCCCGCGCCCGCGACCACACAGTACGTGCGCAGACGGCGTGCACGTGTGATGTGCGCCGTGGTTCTCACGCCGCGCACGCGCACCGCGTGCACATGCGAGGCGCGCGCCGGTCCTCATGCAGGAGGCGCACACCTCGTGCACGCTGGTCCTCACACAGCACACGCACACAGCGTGCACATGTAATGTGCGAATTCTCACAGTGCTCGCACATACCGCGTGCATGTTCAATGTACACACCGGTCCTCACACAGAGCATATGTACATGGCGTGTACACAGTTCCTCATACAGTGCTTACACGTAGCGTGCAAACACCAGCGTACACTTCCCTGCACAGTGCACAGACTCAAAGCATTATAGCATAGGATGCAGTTTCTTCAGACACTGCACATGCATCCTCATACAGCGCGTGAAAACAGCACACACACCACGTGCATACACGTGCTCAGCATGCACATGTTCTCACAAACCGTGCACACACTTCAACACACGGCTCACCTATGTTCACACGCATTAGGCATCTACACACTTACCCTGAGGCTCTGTCTCAGGCAGGCGCCACCTGGGCCAATACCACATGTGCAGACGTCAGTGGCCCCTCCCTCCGAGCAGTTAGGTTCCAGTTCTGCAGGAGCAGGGTGGCCGGCCACCCAGGGCGGGACTCCAGCAAGCCAAGCGATCGACATTCTAGAAAGGGCATGATAGGCCTTCCAACCATGTCCCCCTCCCTGGCATCTTCCACCCGAGAGTTACTGATGTTTTCTTTTTTCCTGGGGCGCAAATAACGTGAACTTGAGAAATCTGAGGAGTACCTTTCTAGGAAGACGTGAAAAACTGCTAAACGTGCAGCCTCGGGAGTGGGGGCCGGGGAAGGGTGTGTGTGTGTGAGGAGGGGAGAGGTTGCTTTCTCTGGACACCCTTTTACCCCTGCCATGAGCATTTGTCATCTCAAAAACACACATTGCAAAAGACATCTTTATATAGGCAGCTCAAGCCTCCAGGTGTAGACCCAGGGATAGCCCGCCAAGTGATAACCCATCCCAGTGTAGCCCCACGCTGCCCGTTTCTCTGTTGGACAGCCCTCTGAGGTTTTAACTCCCATCCCTGGGGAAGAGAGAAATGCACAAGTAAATAGCCAAATGATTCAATATCTTACAATTTTATTTGTCAGTAATACCCCAATATAAGTGAAGAAGCAGAACAACAAAATCGGAATGAAGCTGATAAGGGTACGAGGTTTCTTTGTGGGATGATGAAAATGTCCTAGAATTCAATTACCGTGACAGTTGGCTCTAAGTATCCTAAACGCCATTGAATTGCACATTTCAAACGGGTGAACTTATGATGTGTAAATTGAACAATTAAAAAAAAAAAGCTAAAACCCTCAGAAACCAGCATCTGGATTCTTAGCGAAAAGCTTGGTAATAGTATATTTGTGGCACAAAAGTGTGATGGACGTGTGTGTGACACTCCCAATAAGTGTGCCGTGTGTAGGAAGTGACTGGTGACAAAGCCAGAAGGGGAGTTTATAAACACAAGTGAGCGGGAAAGCAGGCAAGTCAGGGCTGGTCCCTTGGCTGTAGAGCTGGGTTTTTTTTAACCCAGTAAGATTTAGCCAAGTTAATTAGGGTGTTGGAGTTAGTCTCACATTTTTTCCCCCTTTTTCCTTACAGACCTCAGACACAAGTTCCTAATCCATACAACTCTTGAGCTCATGGCTTGCTGACGTGGAAGCGTAGCACCTCTCTCTAGTTTTGTTTTTTTCTCTTTTTACTTTCTATTCCCACTGCCATTCCTCTCTAGTCATAGGTACTTCTGTTTACCATTTCTGTAGCTCTGTTTTTCAACATTATAGCTTTGTGAAGAGATGCATGGTTTTAATTGACATAAATGATATTACACAATAACTATCATTTTGTTTGTCCTCGCTTGGAATTGTTTTCAACATCTATTTATTGCAGCTGGTTCATTCTGGTTTACCCTTTTGTCAATTGTCTATTCAATTCTTGTCTTTCTATTGGGCTACTTGTCTTCTTATTTCCAGCAGTCTCTTGTATTCCAGGTAACTCCTTGTGGGTTTAAATGTTGCAAATATTTCACACTGGTCAGTTAACCTTTTCTAAAATTAGCAGAACTCCACAATTTTTATGCCAAATTCCATCAGTTTTAAAAGCATACTATATGGAAATGATCTCAACCTTACAGAAGAATTGCAAGAATAAGAGTTTACGAAGAACATACACCCTTTACTCAGATTCACCTACTGTTAACACTTTACCCCATTGACTTTATCATTTGTGTGATTTATATCTCTAGTACTTTTTTAACCTGAACTGTTTAAGTTGCATATGTATGTTGCATGGCTCTTTACTGCCAAATACTTCAATGTGTATTTCCTAAGAAAAAGGGTATTCCCTCACACAACCACATTACCAACTTCAGTAAATGTAACACAGATATAATCTTATCTAATTGGCAGCTAGTTTCTCTGCTGTAGAGGTACTATTTTTTTCTCTTGCAACTAAAAAGCAACCTGTGGGGAGGCACTTAGAAGCCATACAGCCTACTCAACAAAACTCTCCCCTAGATTTACTACACATCGATGGTTCTTGGTTGATTCAATCTTTCAAAATAAAATCTATCAAATTTTCACCTTATGGTTTGTGCCTGAAGAGGGCTTTTTTTTAAATGCAGGTAAATGGTCAAAGTGTGGGATGTTTATTGCAGCCTCTCAACCTCAGTGGAGATGGGAGTCAAGAGGGAAAGGGGTAAACTCAAACTGGTGCACTACTTAGTAGAACAACAAAAATCAGAGATGCTTCCTCAGTTTCCCAGCCCCAAGATAGTATTTTCCTTCATTAATTTATAGATTTACCTTTACTCCAAAGCAATTTATTTTCTGTTTGTGGTAATAGGGACCCACATTTTTCTGTGTTTTTCCCGGCATCAATTAAATAATCAATCTTTCCCCCAATGATTTTTTTTTGTGCTTAATTTATTTTTATTTTTATTTTTTTTATTGAAGGGTAGTTGACACACAGAATTACATTAGTTGCAGGTGTATAACACAGTGATTCAACATTTATATACATGATAATTCTAGCTACCAGCTATCACCATACCAAGTTGTTAAAATATTTCGACTATATTCCTTATGCTATACATTACATCCCGGTTACTTATTTATTTTACAATTGGAAGTCTGTACTTTTTTTTTGTTTGTTTGTTTTTTGAGAGGGCATCTCTCATTTATTGATCAAATGGTTGTTAACAACAATAAAATTCTGTATAGGGGACTCAATGCACAATGCACAATCATTAATCCACCCCAAGCCTAATTTTCGTCAGTCTCCAATCTTCTGAAGCATAACGAACAGGTTCTTACATGGAGAACAAATTCTTACATAGTGAATAAGTTACATGGTGAACAGTACAAGGGCAGTCATCACAGAAACTTTTGGTTTTGATCATGCATCATGAACTATAAACAATCAGTTCAAGTACGAATATTCGTTTGATTTTTATACTTGATTTATATGTGGATACATTTCTCTCATTATTATTATTTTTAATAAAATGCTGAAGTGGTAGGTAGATGCAAGATAAAGGTAGAAAACATAGTTTAGTGTTGTAAGAGAGCAAATGTAGATGATCAGGTGTGTGCCCATAGCCTAAGTATTAATCCAAGCTAGACAAGGGCAATAAAACATCCATGGATGCAGATTTCTCTCAAAACAGGGGGGGTGAGGTTCTAAGCCTCACCTCTGTTGATCCCCAATTTCTCACCTGATGGCCCCCCTGCGACTGTGCCTGTCTTAGGTTGTTCCTCCCTTGAGGAATCTTACCCGTCTCTGGCTAACCAGTCATCTTCCGGGGCCATACAGGGAAATGTAAAGTTGGTGAGAGAGAAGCCATATTGTTTGAAAAGGTTAGCTTTTTACTTCTTTGCATATTTATGCCCTGTGGCTTCTATGCCCAGCATTTGTCTTGAGGTATCTTTACCACTTGAAAGAATTGTGATACTCGGTAAATTCGATATGAGGCACGAATTCTATTTAAGGGTTGTAATTAGGAAGGAAGAAGAAAAGCTATAGAAGTAGCAGGCGGAAGAAAACATGGGAAGATTGATTATTTCTTTGACATATCTTCTTGTAGAGTAACTTCAGCATGTATAGGTTTTAAACTACTAATTAAATTGCGCACACACATTAACATAATAGGAATAGTTACATAACCAAAGCAGACCTATAATTACCAGCCATCTCCAGTGAAACCAAGAAAACCAGTTTGGCACCTTAGGCATTTGTGAAAACTTCCCCCAATGATTTTTAAACCACTTTTATCATCTATTTTATTCCCTTATGTTAATGGGCTTGACTCTTGAGTTCTCTACTCTGGTCTTTGTATCTGCTACTGCATGTGTTATTACGGTGACTTACAATGGGATTTAATATCTGGAGAGTACCTCTTTGCTCTTTTTAAAGTTCTCAGAAATTCGTGACTTCCATATGAACTTTTTCTACCTCCCCCTAATCCTGCTGAATATTAGTTGGAATAATACTGAAGCCAGAGATTAATTTGGGGAGAACTGGCATTTTTATAAGACTTCATACCATTTATGAACATGTCTATTTAGGTCGTGTTTTTTTTTTTTAATTAGCTTGCTGGGCTTTTCCCATTAGTTAATTTCCTAAAATCGTTAGTTCAATGGTATCTTAAAATCTATTATACCATCTAGCTGTTAGCCTAGTGCAGTTGTACAGTAGTGGGGGTGGGTTGGCTAACTACAGCCCATGAGCCACATGTAGCCTGCCACTTACATCTGTTAGTAAAGTTTTGAAATACAGCCACTCATTAGTTTACATGTTGTCTACTGTTGTGTTTGTGCTACAATGGCAGAAATGAGTTCTAACAGAGACCATATGGCCTACAAAGCCTAAAGTATTTACTATATGTTCCTTTACAGAGCGCTCACCAACCCCT